TCGGAAAAGCAAACCTTACATAAGTCTTTGCTCGGCTAAAACGGATTTTATATCGAAATGCTATTGCTTAGCGGTCTTAGCTTAAACGCTTATTCGAATTCTCTTAGATAACCAAGCCTTAATTGCAAAAGAACATTCGTAGCAATTAAACGAAGCATCGCCGACGTAATACGCTTTTCGCGCTCGAATCTCTTTCGATTTAAAAACGGTTTTGCTTTATTTTTATTATCGGCTTTATTCCGATTCTTTTTACAATTATATTTTACGGTGTTTTTTAATTTTAATATCTTTTTCTCGACTAGTTTACTCGTAAGGATCGGCGTACCTTGCGAACCGCAAACGAAAGTAATACGGAACCTTTTTCGGCGGAAATCGACTTTGCTTCGACGTTCGGCTAACTATTTTCTAGATACTCTTATTATCATTCGTCAACTCTTAAGATTATCGTTAATATTCTCGAACAATCTTTTATTATTAATGCGCGAGCTACATTCGATACAAGTGCGGAGGTTAGCGTTATCACTTACGACGCCGCGGTTAAATTCGAGGTTTTTATAACTTACGATCAAAAGATAAGCCTTCGAACAATCACCGGTTCATTATCGCGTTTTATCGGATACGCCGATAATATGTTTATTAATATCGAAAGTGCTACGATTTGTACTCGATTCTACGTTATAGATTCGTTAAAGTTTCGACTTATACTCGGTTACCTTTTTATACGCAAAGTAAGAATCGGTTTTCGATACTCTTCGGATTATAAAAGTAGCTTTATTATTACTATAATTACTAATCCGTTTACGAGCTAAGTTACTTAAGTTAAAGTGAGCGATAAAACGAATTAATACGACGAAGCCGTCGATCGCTTAAAAGAACAAAATATAAGCTTTATCTATTACGATAAATCTTCGAGTAGTAGCGGTAGCGATTCGGAAAACTAATAACCGGCCTCGTTAAAAGCGCCGAAGTCGGTATATTAAAAGCTTCTTGCTTTTCGCTTAATTTCGAAAACGAAACGTTGCAATATTAAAAAGAAGACGATTCTACTACTTAAAAGCAGTTTATCGATGTTTTTGCTTTTACGGAATGCGATTTATGCGATCTTTTAACAACTTGCTAGATAAATGCCGTTAGCACCGATAACCTTATAACCCGCTATTACGATTATATCGACTATTAGAATTCGATATTTTATCGAACTTAAAAAAAAATCTTTTCGGACTTAGCTAAAGTATTTAGTATATACAAGATCAAAGATAAAAAGATCAAGCTAATTAACGAAGCAGACGGCGTAAGAGCAGCACCAAGTAGCAAAGTTAATTAGTACGAGCTATCGAAAGCCAAAGATACGCTATAAGAGCAAGTAAAAGAATATAAGCAATACTTCTTTTCGCGCATTGCCGACATACCGAGAAGCTCTCGAATCACACTCGAACGTATAGCGAACTTAAATGTCGGTAATATACTACGGCTTAAAGAAAAGGATTTGTTTAAAGAAATGATGCTAAGCAAAAAAAAATCAATCGCATTCGCTTAATAAGAGTGCGGTAAGTTTTACGACGACGTATCACCACCGACTAAGCTTAAAACTATCTTATATACGGCTTAGCAAGCTTTTAATTATTCGTGTCCGAAAGCCCTACAGCTTATTATTATCAAAATGCTCCAAGACAAGCTAGATAAAAGAGTTTTAAAGTATTGCGAAAGACCGTACCGAAATCAATAGTTCTTAATAATCAAAAAGCAGCCGAGCTAATACCGACTTATCAACTTAGCAACTCTATTTAATGCAGTTACACGAAAGGACGCCAATCTACTTTTAACTGTAAATGAATTTGTTAAAGAGTTTTTTAGTTGCTAGATGGCTAGCCTAATCGACCTTTATTCGGGCTATGATCAGCAAATACTCTATCAATCGAATAAAGACCTTACCGCTTTCTTTACACCGCTAAGTCTCTTCCGATGCATTACCTTTCCGCAAAGTGCTATAAACTCGATAGCTTAATTCGTCCGAATAATCAATCTTATCTTAAAGCCTTTGCAACTTAAGGTCTTTATACTATTTGTCGACGATATTAAAGTGAAAAAACTACAAACGGACTATTTCGACGAAAAAGCACTTTCGAGTATACGTCGATTCGTGCTCGAACATATTTAAAACATCGACAAGACTTTAAAACGGATTAAGCGCGCTAGTGTTACAATTAAAGAAAAGTTATAGTTTTGCCGGGATAAGATAAATGTAATAAGATTCGTATGCAATTCGAAAGGTCGAGAACCCGCTGCGAATAAAGTTATTAAGATTAATAACTAAAAAACCTTCGAAAACGTTATTAAGGTTAAAGGATTTTTAAGCTTTTGCTTTTACTTTCGCATTTAAGTTAAAAGATTCGCACACATTGCTGACCCTTTTTACAACCTTATAAAAAAAGATATAAATTAGCAATGGACCGAAGCGCATTCGAAAGCTATGCGAATGCTATAAAATGCTTTGACGACGGCTCCGGTTTTAATCAAGATCGACTATAAAGACTAGAACAAAGAAATAGTAATAAGAACGGACGCTAGCTTAAAAGGATAAAGAAAATATATCGGCCAACGCGAGATTACTTTTAGCAAGGTGCAATCGGCTCGGTACGAATCCAAGGCTTAAACGGAAGCAAAACGGAACTACGACGCTACTAAACGAAAGTGCCGCGGGGTACTTAAAGTCTTTAAGAAACTTAAGCTATAAATTATCAGAATGCACTTTATCTTCGAGACTAACGTTAAAGTGCTCGTTACTTAGCTTCGACGAAAAGCTACCGATATACCTTCGGCTTTAGTTATACGCTAGCTAGCTTAGATTAATCTTTTCGATTTTAAAGTCCGATATATCCTTAGTAAAGATTATATCGCTGCCGATGCACTATCGAGACGGCTACAGCACTTCGATGATTTAAACGAAGAAGATAAGAATGAATTCGATAATAGCTTGCTAGCCGACCTAAGACTTATTAAAGCTCGAGACGGCTTCGAAAGACTTTCGACGAACCTCTTAATAGATATTCGTTAATCTATCTTTAAAAATATGTTTTAACGCTCGAAAGAAGCGGAGAATGTAAACTTAAACGAGTTTAACGACGACTACGATTATAAAAGTTTTTTAAACTTAATCGAATACTTTTCAAAATTAATTCGAATAGCTACTTTCTTAACGACCTTGCGAAGATTTAAGGATCTAAACAAAGTAGAATACCGTAAGTTTAAAAAGGAAGCTATTAAATACAAGATAAACGATAAGAAACTCTAAAGACTTCCGACGAAAAGTCTTCTTTTCCGATTAGTAATCGATAAGCCTTCGATTAAAACGGATATTATTACGGCCTATTACGATAAGAGTGGTTATAAAGGCCGTAAATCAACTTATCATCGTATATTTTAACGCTACTTTTAAAATAGATACTACACGGACGTTAAACGATTCGTTAAGACTTGTAAAGAATGCTAACACCGAGCAGCTAATAAGCTCGAAAAGCTATTGCATCTTACCCGATCTAATAGCTTAATAGAACGTTAGGCTATCGATATTACTTATCTACTTGCACGCAATAGCAAGAGCTACTTAATTATTATTAAAGACGATATAAGTAGATAAGTCGAAGCGAAAGCGATTCGGACTCGAGACTCGCTCTCGGTAGTTAAGTTTATTTAAAAAAATATTATTTGCCGCTATAAGATTTTCTTTCAGCTGACAGTCGACGAAGGTTCGGAGTTTAAGAAAAAGGTAATCGACTTATTTAATAATTAAAGAATCAATCGAATCGTAGTCTTAGCATACCACCCTTAAGCGAATGAAATAGTAAAACGCGGCCACGAACCAATTAAAGACGCATTAAGTAAGCTTAAAGGCACCGATTAGATTGCGCAATTGCTAGCCGTCTTATTCGCCGACCGCACTTTAATGTATACTCTTACCGGATTCATTTCTTTTTATATAGTATACGGCAAAAAAGCAATGCTTTCGATTGAGACTCGAATCTAGTCTTAAGCTACGTTATTTTAAGAGCTAATAACTAATCGTGCTAAGCTTATCGAATTAAAAGCACGTTAGTTTCGGATGCGAGACGAAGACGCTACGGAGGCCATACTTAAGAAAACTCGCTGCCGCTAAAAAGGAAAAAATGCTTTTGATAGTAAAAAAAACCTCCGAATCAGACCCTTAAAAGTAAGTGACTTGGTTCTTAAGCACGACTCGGTACGTGAAGTGGATATGTCCAACGTCAAGAAGCTGGATTTTCGATGGCTTAGCTTTTACTAAATTTCGTCGGTAAATACAAAAGGATACTACGAGTTGAAAGAGCTAAAAGAAGACGAAGCCTTGCTAAACGGAACATTTGCCGGCAATCGATTAAAGAAGTTCTACGTGCGATATACCTTCGAAGCGTTACTACTTCGCCTTAAGCCTTACATAAAAAGATCCTTAGAACAGCCTTTACTAAATGAAGTGGCCGAGTCCGGCCTTTAAATCAAGCGCTTAAATAGATTTGTCATTCGATTACTTAGCCTTACGGAAGAGCAACGGAGCTAATACGCAAGAGTCTTTATAAGCAATGATAAAAAAGTAATAAAAAGTGATTAAGTTATAAAGGCATGACTATACGTAAGAAAAGGGTCGAGTTTGGATTTGATTTTTAATTTTTTCTTTATTTAAGTTTAGTTTTCCTTGTTTTCTTTTTTCTTATACTCTTTTTATTTCTTTCTTTGTATTAAAAAGCCTTACGTCATCATACTTATATGCTTTCGATTTATTATATACGAGCATATCATATATATAAAGCGGACCTTACTCGAAGGCTGATTAAAAAAGAGCATACGAAAAATCTATTGTATTAATTACTTAGCAAGCTGCCGATACGCGATAAAAACCCTTCCGACCTTACAACTCAAAGCTAAATGGAATAGTGCGAAAGCCTTTCGCAGCACCTTAAGTACTGCTCTTACCTCTCGAAGTTTTACCGATGTTATTACGACTCGAACCTTTCGTAGAACCACGGGTATTGCTACGGCTAAAACCTCGCGAAAAGGAACCACCGGTATTACCGCGATTAAAAGCTTAGCGGGCACTTCGGCGGAGCTTCTTTGCTTAAGAGAGTGCTAGCGATTCCGAAGATAAAAATAAGAGAGACGAAGACTTTTCGACAATCTATCGTAATTAAATCGAAAAGGAATCATAAAAGGTTCGCAACATATACTTACGCGGCTAAAGAAATTACTTAGCAAGATATTATTTCGATCTATTACAGCTAAGATTTAACGCAGCAAGTCTAGCGAAGCTGGATCGGCGGTAGCAGCGGCGGCAAGTAAGCGTAACGCCGAAACGGGACTTAAGCTAGCCAAAAGACCTTTAGCATTAGCGGCGGCAAGAGAAGCAACGGCGATACGAGCTCGAAAAAAAGAAGAAGCATCGCTAATACAAAAGGCAAGAGCACGGCGGGTCTTTATAAAGAGGTTATTTGCAACCGTGCCCTTACGAAAAACGTCGTCGGCCGTCTTAATTCTATTGTTTATAGCCGTCATCGCATCTATTAAGATTATACTAGCATTAACGACTTCTGCGAAAAGCTATCGAATCGAAGTCAAAACGAGTGTGAAACGGAAAGTAAGATAACTTACGAAGATGCAAGTTGACTTGATAGCACGGCAACGCTCGCATTTAATAGATTTATCGGCGGAAAAGATACATCGACTCGCAGCATTATCGATAGTTTTGCTTACGTAGCTTACGCATCGAAAGCAGATCGATAATATAATAGTAAAGATAAAGTTGATAAATAGTAATGCTAAAGAGAAGATAGAAAGGTGTAAGGTTGATATAAAAAGAAGGTTGACTGTTTATAGCAAAACCTCGAGTGTATATTGCCGCTTTTATTTTCTTTATTACGTTACCGCTTTAAGCCCCGCGCTACTACCGATTCGGCAGTGCGTCACTACTTGACCGCCTAAACCGGCGCACGCCTGTCCTAATAACAATATTAACGCTCGAATTGATATTGTTTTTTATAGTTGAATAAAAATGCTATAAAAGATATAAAGAAAAGTTAGACTCGAAAGATTATCTTGCATTTTCGTTGCTATTCTTATTTTCTTTGTTATATTATATACGCTCCGTATTAACACCGATCCGGCGATGCATTATTAAGTAATACTTTAAGACTATATTGCGACCGTGCTATTCGGCCATATGCTCGTCTTGCAAACCTAACTTTACCACTTTAATAAAAAGTGATTCGAAAGCGAGTCTGATTCGAAGGAAGGACGTATATAATAAAGTTAAGGCTCTGTATTTGTTTTGTCTATGTATATAGTATTAATGCTAAGCACTTTTATTACGTGGGTGCGCTGCATGCTTTGGCTTTGCTAAGCACGTGGTTAAGTCACGTAGTTAAGTCACGTGCAAGCTCTTATATAAACGAGTAATTGGTTCCTCTTTAAACCACTATCATATCACTATACAATACAATACACGTACTTATAGCACATATTCGAGTGTCTTTCGATCGTCCTCCTTTTCTTCCTTTATTCACTTACGATTTTACTATAGCTATATTCATATATATCTCTTGATTTGACGTTGGGTATATGTCGGAGCTCTTCCCCTCCATAGTAGCTAAGGTCTATATATACGAAAGTAGAAGCGCTAAGGACTCGTAAACTATAATTTATAAGTCAAAAGCAAAGAATAAGAGAATACGAAGAATACGAAAGAAAAAAAAGGGAAGTAGCTTAGCGTATATAAAGTGCGTTTAAAAGACTTAACGTATCGTTATATTACTTTTTCGTTCGAAAAAAGCTCGTCTTCGAGCGTTTATTTATTACTTTATCATTGCTTAAGTGATCGTAGTTATTAATATTATTCGAATAAGCTTTAATCTAATTAAAGAGCTTCGCGAAAAAGCCGAAGAGCTTTTTATATTTTAAGTGAAAGTCACGTATTTTAAAAAGAGCGTATATAAAGTCGGAAGCGGAGTATTAAGTAAAGTTAATATCGCGGCCGAATTAAAAAGCGCGGTATTTAAAATGCTTTTTAATTTAACGTACGGCTAAGATATTTTCTACTTTGTATTTAAGTTCGCTAATAATATTAATCAAGTTAAGTTTAAAAATAATTTGCTTAAAAGTAAAGTTATTAAAAGCTTTTCGTAGCCGTTTAAAGTAAAAGATTAAGTGAACTTTTATTAACTTAAAGAGCTTAAGTTTAAAGCTATTATAAACGTTATTAATAACTTCGAACGGTCCGTTCGTAAGGTTATCGAGCTTTTTAAACGGTTGAGAAATAAAAAACGAGCGCATATTTAACTAAACTTTATTATTAACGTCGAAATCAATCGAGCGCTTTAATTTATTAGCCTGTTTTATTATGCGGTCTTAAGCGCGTTAAAAATGCTTTTTAACGAAGTTCTAAGCTTTAAAGTAACGATTAGCGTAAGCGCGAGCTTCGTCTTAATTAAGCTTACGAGAAAAAGTTTAATCGTTAAGTCGTTTTAAGCTTTAATTTTAAGTAGTTCGAAAAGCGTAGCTATAAATTACTTCGAAAAAAGAAAAGCCGCCGAAAAAATCGTAAAAAAGCGTTAATTAAGCGAAGTCTATAATAAGAAAAAACTCGCTTTAATCATTTTAATAATAGCTTACGAAAAGACGAAAGCGCTTTTGCAAGTATTAATTATAGATTTTGGTTTAACCGTTAATTTTAAAATGTACGGCGATGCTAAAGGTTAATTTAATACCGAAGATCTTATTAAATTCTTTTTAAAACTCGAACTAGTATTAAAGTCTTTTATTAAAAGTCAATGTTAAAAGAGCTTTAAAATACTTATAAATATAATAAATATAAAGCTTAGCGAAGCTTTTAACGTCGATAGACTTATAATAAAAGATCGAGATTGCTTGCTTAAAAAAGCGGTCGATCATTATAAAAACGTTATCGTAGTCGTATTTGTCTTTATTAAAGCTATAAAAATCTATAATAACGTGCTTTTAAAAGCGTAAGAAGATCGAGAAAGATTAAAGTAAATTAAGTTTTTTATCGCAAAGCATTAAAGCTCGTTTGCAAGCGTAGCAATTGCAGTAGTATTAATTAACGAATTTAATTATACCGTGCTAATAATACTATATTATAAAAAGCTTATAAGTTTTACGAAAGCTAAAGTATACCGTAAATACTTAATCGTAAACTTTTCGAACGAATAACGAACGCAAGTTTTAAACGTTAAAAACTAATAAGCGGCCGTTATAAAACAGCAAGTCGCTTTTTATAATAAGTTTAGCTCGTGAACTGTAATTTACGAATAAAGACTCAGCTTTAAAAGCTTGAATTTAAAGTGTTATAAAACTAAGAGCGGTCCGATTAGCTTTTAAGACTTAATTAATAACTTAAAATATTAATAGAAGCTTCGCGATCTTTTCGATAATGACGGTAGTTTTCGAAAGCGTAAGCTAGCGTAACTCTTCGATCAAGAGTCTTAAGTCAACGTTATTAGCGCAAAGCAGCGTTTACAAGCGCTAAGTGCGCTTAAAGCATTTTTAAGATAAAAGTTCTTCGATGCAACGTATTAGCGCGTTAATTAAAAAGTTATTTTTATTTAATTTATACGTAATAATAAAGTTATAATCGGAAAAAAGCTTTGCTTAGCGTACTTAATAAGCGTTAAAAGTTTTAAAAGTCATAAACTACTTTAAGGCTTTATAATCGATGATTATCTAAACTTAATAAAAAGAGCCGGCGAGTTCGGCGCGAAATTTATTAAAAAAGCGTATAATAACTAGCATCTTTTTATCGTAAACGACGTAATTAAGCTTAGCGAAAGCTATAGTTTTAAAATAATAAGCGATTAATAGCTAATCGAAATTATGCTTTTAAGAAAAGATTAAAGCGATTACGCCGTCGAAAGCGTTAGTTTTTAGTATATAAAAAAAGTTTTAATTATAATGTTATAAAATTAGCGCAATAACTAAAGCGAGCTTTAAAAAGTCGAAGCTCTTTTAGTATTAAGAATTAAATAAAAAAAGAACGTTAGCTTTAATTAAGTCTATTAAAAGCTTCGCGATTACGTTATAATCTCGAATAAATCGGCGATAAAAGTTATAAAATCTAAAAAAGCTTTAAACGCTTTTAACGATTATAAAAAGCGCTTAATACTTTATTATCGAAGTCTTATCCGGATCTACTTTTAAGCTTTCGATAGAAATAATAAAGCTTAAATATTTTATTTTAATAATATTAAATTCGCACTTTTTAATATCAGCTTAAAAGCTAGCGTCGTCGAATCGTTAAAAGACTTAGCGAACGTAATAAGCGTGCTTTAAAAGGTAGAAAGAATAGATTAAGATATCGTTTAAGTATGCTATGCAAAAGATATTTAAAAAATCGAAAAAGAAATCATTTATATAGCGTTAATAAATAGCGAGTCTATTAATTAGTCCGAACGGAAAAACTTTGCACTTATAAGCACCGTAGCGTATTTTAAATATTATAAGCTTTTCGAAAGTTAAGTTTATTTATATTTTATAAAAAGCTTATCGAATATCGAGTTTCGTAAAGATTCGAGCTTTTAAAAAGCGTGCGAAAGTTTTATCGATTAAAAAGAAAGAGTATCGATTTTTACGAGTAAAGTTGTTTAACGCATAAAAATCAATATAAAAGCGGAAAAAACCGTTTTGCTTTTTAACGAAAAAAACTAAAGCTGCAAATAGCGCTATTAAAAATTCGATAAAACCTTTATTAAGATTATCGATAAAGTAAGCTTTAATAAGCTTTAGCTTAAAGATCGATATCTTATATAATAATAAATACCGAAGCGCTTTTTCTTTTTTTTCGAAAAGCTCGATTTTATAATCGTAAAGCTTATATAATGCTAGCACGTTGCTAGCGGCCTTAAAGAATACGTATATATAATCGAAGTACTCGAAAAAGATAAAAGAATCGTTAATAAGCTTTAATAGTTTCGATGCAAAGTCAATAATAAAAATAAAGCCGTTAATAAAGCGTATTAACGCTGCTTAATAATCAGCTTAAGTAAAGATAATCGTTTAACGCTTAAAGATCAAGCAATCGAGCTCGTAAAAAGACGTAAAAAATAATTCTACGTCTTTTTAACGAGCAATTATATAAAAAGCGTATTCGAAGACGCCGTTAATTTTAAAGTTTTTATTAATTTTATGCTTAAATGTTTAGCGAAAGCGTTTAATAAATAAAAAAAGTTTTACGAAAGCGATATCGATTAATATAAGCTTACGGTTTAATTAAAATATTAATTTAACGTAATCCTTAAAAAAAGTGTTTTTCGTAAAGCGAAAAAATAACGGCTTTACGAAAAAGTGAATAAAAGAAAAAAGTTCAACGATCTTAAAAATAGAAGCGAAAAGAAAACGATTTTAAAAAAAAAGAAATGATTCTACGATTATCGTTACTATTTAATCTATTTATAAATTATAATTCACGAGTGAATTAGCGTCGTAAGCTTTTTAAAAGCGATTTAAAGCTCGATCACGCTTATTAGCGTCGTATTAATAACGAGCGTTTACTTTACGCTAATTAAAATATATAATCTTAATGCATTTAACGTAAATAACGATCGAAAAGTTAAAACGAAGCTAATAAAGCTTGCGGCAAGCGCAATTAAAAAGAATTTAATACTTAGCTAGCTATGCTCGTCCGAAGATTACGTTATGATTTCTAAAGTTAATAATAAAAAAAAGAGTAAAAAAT